AAACGTTATTGCTTCATAAGGATATGACAATACGGCTCATGATTATGAATAAGGCAAAATTCTGCAAATCTTTCTTACTTACGGCTCAGCATGAAACGAAACAGACGCTTTCACAATTTGCAGGGAGATGGATCATTATTGCATTGATCGAAGCGGACCAGCATTTGTGCCGTATATCTGCATCGCTCAACTGAATCCGGTCGTCTATTGGCAGTCTTCAAATTCTTCTTTTACTCGTGACAGATCTGTGGCTTCATTCGACCAAGTTGATCCGCGCGATTATGCTGTCCGAGCTCTGTTCAGTCCGAGGCAGCGATTGCACCCAGAACACCAGAAGCACTTCCTGGGTTATCTGTCAAGTAAAATATTTAAGTAAGCAAGAAAGTCACTTGATCCTTTATTGTAGCATTATTTGACATCAAACGTTAGGGAATGACGTCAGGCATTTTGAAAACCGATCAGGCCCTACGGCAAACCGGTTTTCCAAATGAAACGTTTCCGCATTTTCCTCGTTTCTCATCCCAAAATAAAATATACCACCAATAAGCATGAGCTTAATGGACCGTCTGTCGAACAGCAAGAAAAGTGAATATTAAAATCGTGGCTTTTTCTGACTTCTTGCAACGAAGGGTCAAGAGCTGCCATATCGACCGACAATTCCTTCCTCACTGCTCTCTGAGAGGGATCGGAAATAAAAGTTTCACAACCTGAAAATCTGTTCATCGAGTACCTTGTAAATGCGACGGTCGACCATTGAAAGATGACTGCTCTGCGATCAGTACGTGAGACGCATACGATTACGCATGGATTCTCCCAGTCTCTCATGAAACGGCTATGAGTGAAGACGAGGCGAGCCTCCTCCGTCAGACGGTGGTACACCGCACTTCCTGCTTACGACGTCGATGATCACCGATGCTCTCGCCGAGAGCGTCAACAACACGTCCGAGATGATGAGAGGCAGGTAGTAAAACGAAGCAGTCTCGATAGACCTCGGGAGAGACGTGCATTCGACAGCCGTCACGTCGTCCGACCGGCGTTCCTGGTGAAATGACTGATTGAGTAACTGCAACGAGGCGCCGCTCTTCGGCGAAATA